CAATTTAAATAATAAAAAAAAGATCATTGAAACAAAAAAAAATAAAATTTCAAATTTCAAATTGCTAAAACTTTTTATAGTAATAAAATTTTGAAAGATATTTAACATATATGTAAAGTTAATATAACTCTATAAAGGTGCTAGTTGATTTTTTTAAACTTTTTAGATAAAAAATTATAACTGTTTAAGAAATTGAAACACTTTATATAACTATTGAGTATAGATATCTTGTACTATATGAAATTTTAAAAAAAACTAGCTGATTAAATTTGTTTAAACAGTTCTATATTATAAAAACCAAAAAATTTTTTTGTATAATCTTATTTTCAAAACATTAAATTTTTTAAAAAAATTAAAAAATTTAAATATTTATTTAAATTATATAAAACTTTCAAAATATATATATCTTGATGAGCTAAACAACTTTAGGGCAGTGTTATTTATCACCTGATTATTTTTTATCAGAGGCTTACTCCCCCTCCCCCCTCTTAATATAAAAAAAAATCAGGTTCTTATTAATAATTTTAACTTTTTTTACCCCCCTCCCCCCCTAAAAAATCACCTGATTTTTGTCACGTCCCTTATTTAAAAACCCAAAGATATGATAAAATTTTAGCTTATATAAAATTTTTTTAAAAAAACCAGAAAAGTAGCTTATTTCGAAAACATACAATAACCTATTTTCTCAACAGTTAGTCCTTCGAACAATTAATAATTTGCCTATTTTATGTTGGAACTAGGTTGTTCGCGTTATAACACTTTATAGGCATCGACATAATATCTGATTATGTATACATATTTGTTTATTAAAAAATCAAATTTCATAAACTAAATAAACATCCATCAATAAATCCGGATTAAAGAAATATAAAATAGGGTGCTTTATCGAGATATCCAATCAGATATCTGAATCCAAGCACTATCATGTTCGACTGCCAGTGATTACAAAGCGTAATTTAAGTTGTTCTTCTTCGTTAAGTGCCAAACATAATTCCGCAAAATTGTTTATATTATGAGAAGCACAATGACGGAAAAAGTTTACCAGATACTCCTGCCATATATCAATCAAAAATTAATAAAAACACATGACAATCCATTTAGCATTCATACAATAATAACTCACTCTGAGGTTGGTATGGTAAATTTGATTATCTTTAATATCAGGATCATCTTCGAAGTCTTCAAGTTCTCGTATTTTATTAAATTCTATTACATGCAGATTATACGTTTAAAAGGTTGATAAGCTAAATTGTTTCCACAAATTATTACCTGAAAGGACAATGTAATCTTCCGAAGGAGCAAATGGAGAAGGCTCTTCGACATCTTCCCACTCATCATCCTATTAAGTAATCAGTAAATTGTAAAGTCATGCTTGTGAATATAAATGATATCACCTACGTCATCATCAGTCTCAATAGCCTCCTCATCGTCTAAAATATCATCTAATTCAGAACGCTTTAGGTTGTCTCCTTCTGTTGCATTTTGGAGATCTGATAAAAGTAATTTGATAATCTTTATAGTTGCAGAAATATAAACATATTGATGCGGATCTAACGTATAATTACAGAATAGTTTAAATAGTTACTAAGAATTTGTTAAAGGACTAACAAAGAAAAAAAATCTATAATACTTTGACGAGTCCTTGAGCGTGTCATTATCTCTAACAAATGAAATAGAATAATATCCAACACAGAATTTGTATGCAAAGGATTAATACATAAAAATCATTTAATGAGCATGAATAAAATACGATTTACATACTTGAAGATGGCATTATAATTAAATCACCTTTAACTTTAATATTTTGTATTCTCGGATCACAGGATAAGAAAAGCTCAGACAATGCAATGGCACTGCATAATTATACACAAGTAAATATTATTATTTATCATAAGTCAACTGGGAAACAATATATACCTGATTTTTATATTATAGTGCCCTTGAAAACTATCATGGTTTTCAAGCCAAGTATTAAGTAATATATCAAGACCATTTCTACCATTGATAACCGATTCATCCATAAAATTTACTACAGTAGATTTCTGGCCAAGAGCCAAATGTGCGAAAATCATAAGCAAAGACTATTATACGTAAAAAGAAAAATATTAGGTTGTTGATTTCATAAAACATAAAGCTAGAGGTCAGGAAAAATTAGACAAATATTCCAAATTACAATATAATTAGAGATTAGATACCTGTATAAACGTGGCAGTACGAGCGCTCTCCAGTTTCACTGCGACCGCCCTAAGTAATTCCGGAAGAACAGGTAAAAGTTTGTTCCCTGCCTATTATAAATGTGTAAAAGAATGTTAAATGAAATATATGAAACATTATCCACTAAACAATAAAGCACCTTTTCGATCAGCTTAACAACCAAATCGCCTAAAAATGTCGCAGATTCACTTTCAGTTGGCTGAAGCGACTTTGCGATGAATTGTATCACATAATCTAGTCCTGTCTTTCCACTCACATCAGTCCTGCAACAACAACATTTAATAAATAGCCTAAATCATAAAACGAACAAAAAACAAAGCCATATTTACCATTCAGCAATTCGTGCACAATCTTTTTGCACAAAATATTTTAAGCAAATTTCCCCATTCTATTTTTCCAAAAGAAATATTTAGGTTTATTTATCAATGAAGAAATCAAATATACTGTAATACAACCTGCAAAATGCTTCGATCTTCAGTTGTCAGCATCAAATGCATTAAGGGCGGAAATACATGTTCGATATATGGCGATGGAAGGGGTGAAGGACCACCTTTTACAAGACTTGCGATTAAATCAATTGCTGACTAAAAACATAATACTTTAAGACTACGTTAAATACAAGAATCAGCTCAATTATTTGTAACATTATTTATAGAACATACTGCAGTCACGGCGGAATCAGTGTTGTTAATCAGTATATTGGCCAAAGGAGGTAAGGCTCTAGCCTGAAATGAAGCATGCGCATTCACATTGCTTGATAATTCTTCAAAAATATCAGTTACTATCGGATAAATCGTGTGATCTAATAGAACTAATAGTTAAGTTTGATGATATTGTAACAATGATTATAAATCAAAAATAAAATATTGCCTGTAGGGTGTTTCATCCAGACGTCAATAATTAACGGGCCTATCAAGCTTTCGTACCGAGCTGTCACTTCATTATTGATCTAAAAAAATAACTTATATTATTTACATGACATAACAATAATTTTATGATTAATATTTAATATACTTTGATGGCCTCTTCAAGTGTTTCTAATACGAGTATTAGCGAGTCTTCTGATACGATATTCAAAAGATTTGCAACACTTTCGATTATATTGGATTGAAACGGCGCCACATATTGAACGTCCAAATGATGACAGAAACTAAGAACAATTTAGTTACTATGCAAATAATTATGAAAGAAAAAATACACACATCTAAGTATTATGCTTACTTCTGCAATGCTCGTAAAGCAGATACTTTCACAGGTATAGCACCAATTCCTTGGATTGCACAGACAGCTTCAGATACGTAGCGCGATGCAAGTTCACCAGGTAACAGTGTTGCATATTGACTGGCGAATACAAATGCACGCCCTTGAAGGAAAGGATATTCTTCAAAGAAAAAAGGCAATAAATTTAATTGACTTCATTTTTTTTATAAAATATTAACTTTCACACCTACCTGTTGCGGTCAAATGGCCAAAAACTACATGCTCGAATAGTCCAGGCAGGTCAAATTTAACTTTGGGAGCATTGTCTTGCAAAGCTGTCGCGAGTTCATTAGAAACAAATCCTACAGCTTTAAGGCAAGCTTCTTGAACCTTCCACCTATATGAAGTAATACACGTAGGCCCGAATTGAAGACCATCAAATATAGAGTAGCAGATTCTTAATAAGAATGATCCAGTAACAGCCATAAGTCAATTTATAATAAGAATAAAAAAAGTAAAAGTCTATTTTAATTCAAGGACTAAATGTTTTACGCACCATACACTGTCACCTGCAGCACGAGCTATATTAGATTCTTCGATAAGGTGTTGTGTTGTTTCAGCGAGAGCTTGCAGTGTTTTTTCAGGAAACTTTTCAAGTAAAATCTATAAAGGAATTTATGTTTATATATAAGCTTAATTACGATAAAATTTTCTTGTGAGCGTACTTCTAAGAGGTCCCCTGCCGCAACCCTGACGGTGAAGTTGAATGTCTCATCATCATCATCAGCAACAAATTGATTAGCATCTGCTAACCAGGTTTCAACCTGAAAAATAAGTTAATGTTAAACTTAATATTGATGAAATATATAATACAAATAAATTAATAACCTGCTCCTTAGTCATCTGCATATAAGATAAAATTATCCAAACGACTTGTTTCAAAAATGTGCTCTCTCCGTTACTTTGCACAAAAAGCGGTTTTGCTGATTTTTTTCTAACAGAAAGACCAACGAATTCAAATTGAGCAAAGAGCAAATACTCAAAGCCGAAAACTTCCCCATCAGAGTCCTGACAAGTGCTAACAAAGTCAC